ACTCTGCATTGCCTAAGGAAGAAGGATCTATCTCTATTTCTGCTGCTGCTGCTCCTGTTCCTGCTGCTGCTGCTGCTGCTGCAGCAGCTGCTGCTGCTGATTTTCGTGCTGCAGCAAAGGTCTCTATTAATTCAGGAGATGCAGGATGAGGAGACTTCCTTAACTGACGCAAGACACGACCTAATGGCTGCTGCTGCTGCTGCTGCTGCTGCTGCTTCAGCTTAGGCCCATATCTGCGCACACCCAACAACAAAACCCTAAACCCTAAACCCTAAACCCTAAAACACACTAAATACACTTCAGAGGAAGAGCAACCAGGTAAGCTGCAGCAGCAACTCCCTCCAAACCCTAAACCCTAAATACGTCACAGAGAAGGCTCAACAAGAAGTGCTACATCAGCAACCCCCGTCCTAACCCTAAACCCTAAACCCTAAACCCTAAACCCTAATTATACCTTTTCCTTCTTTTTTGTAGACTTAAATTTCTGCCGAATTCATCAAATCGTTCGGGCAGCAAACGGCCAATATCCACTAAACGCCGCTGTGTCCTGTAAGAACACCCTAAACCCTAAACCCTAAACCCTAAACCCTAGAGGGGAGTCATGTAGACAACGGAAAAAGATACAGCTATTACCCTATTGGCTAACTTCGTAGGGTTTATGCTTCTGTGAGCTCAGCGACTAAACACAAAAAAGGGTTTAGGGTTTAGGGTTTGACGTACGTTCTGTCTGCGTCTTCTGTCTCGAGGTTTTGGAGGGCCTCCACCGCCATCTTAACCGCGGGCTTCTTCTCATCTGCACAAAACCCTAAACCCTAAACCCTAAACCCTAAACCCTAAACCCTAAACCCTCAACCCTAGACCCTAGACCCATGTGTGACCCTACTGGTGTCTGCATAAGAGAACTGCGACTCAACTGAGCGCAAACAAGGCTAATTAGGGTTTAGGGTTTAGGGTTTACAGATGCAGCCGCTGAGGTCTTCAATGTACATCAAAAACTCCTGCAGTTTCTGCAGCCGTCGCTCCATTTCTGAACGCAAACCCTAAACCCTAAACCCTAAACCCTAAACCCTAAACCCTAAACCCTAGCTCACACCAGACCTTCAAATCCCAAACCCTAAACCCTAAACACTAAACCCTAATTTCTGGATTGCCTCACTGAGTTGCTTGACTTCAAGTGCTGCCATTCTTGCTGCTGCTGCCTTCTTGCTATGTACTTGCTGTTGCTGTTGCTGCTGCTGCTGCTGTTGCACGTCTGCTTGCATCTCTGCCTGCTCCTCAATCCATGCAACTGCTGCTGCTGCCTGCTGCTCTGCATTGTTGCTGTTTGTGCTGCTACTGCTGCTGCCGCCGCCGCCACTAGCCCATAGTTGGGCGAAGCAGCTTGCTGCTGTTGTTGCTCCTGCTGCTGCTCCTCCTGCTGCTTTCCTAGGTTCAGCAGCAGGCTTGATGTGACAGCCGCTGCTGCTGCTGTCAGCAGTAGCAGCAACAGCAGCACTTGTATCCTGGTGCGCAGGAATGCCACTAAATGAGCTGAGGATCTGCTGCTGTTGCTGCTGCTGCTGCTGTGCAAGCTGCTGGCGCTGCCGTCTCTCAAGCTTCTCCTGCTGCAGCAGCAGCTGCTTCCTTCCAGCCCCTGAAGAAAAAAGCAGCAGCAGCAGCAGCAGCAGCACATTGCAGCAACAGCAGCAGCAACAGCGACAGACAGCAGCAGCACTAACAACAGCAACAAACAGCAGCAAGAAAGACCAGACAGCAGCAACAGCAGCACCAGTCCACACAAACCGCAGCATCACCAGGCACACACCAACAGCAGCAGCAGCAGCAACAGCAGCAGCAGCAGCAGCAATACCTTTCATGATTTGCTCTCTTTCCCATGCCTCTAGTGCTGCTTGCTCTGATTCCTCAGACAGCTGCTGCAGCAAAGGGACACCGCGCAGCTGCAGCATGGCCTCCCTAGCTAGCCAGCTCTTGCTGCTGCTGCTGCTGCTGCTGTTGCTGCTGCTGACACCTGCTGCTGTTGCTTCATCCTCCTCTGTATACTCCCCAAAACAGGACACATTAGGTGTACCCCCTTTGCTGCTGCTACTGCTGCTGCTGTTGTTCATGTCTGCTGCTCTTGCTTGCTGCCGCGAACGACGAGCCATCTGTGCTAGTGCAGCAAAAGGGAGTTCTGCTGCTCCATCATCTGCTGCTGCTGCTGCTGCAGCAGCAGCAGCAGATTTCCTGTCTTCTAGCTCTGCTAAAGAAAAGATACGCGGCTCAGCAGCACCACCACGGCCACCTGCTGCTGCTGCTGCTGCTGACGGTGCTGCTGCTGCTGCTCCTGGTGATGCTCCTTGAGGCCGATCAGCAGAACCAGAAGAACCAGCGCTCCTTGATGTTGACTGTCTGCTGCTGCTGCTGCTGCTGTTACTGCTGCTGCTGCTACTACTACTACTTCTAGGACTGCAAGGAAACAGACACACAGAGTATTGTACACAGTGCTGCAGCAGCAGCAACGGCAATAGCAAGACCAGCAGCAACAGCAGCAGCAGCAAGAACAGCAGTACAGTCACCAGCAGCAAACCCAGCAGCAACAGCAGCAGCAACATCAGCAGCAACAGCAACAGTGTCACCGGCCTCACGTGAACTCGTGGCGTCTGCTGCTGCTATCCTTGTTGCTGTCCCTGCTGCTGCTACTACTACTACTACTACTACTACTACTACTTTTGCTGCTGCTCTTGCTGCTGCTGCTGCTGGTGCTTGCATGCGTTGCCCTTAGGACAATCCCCACACTGCCTGGGGGGTTTACTACTAACAAGGGTTTATCCTTGCTGCTGCTGCTGCTGCTATCTTTGCTGCTGCCTTTGTTTCTTGCCTCCGGGTCTCGGCTTCCGCTGCGCCTATTATCCTTGTTGCTGCTGCTGCTGCTACTACTACTACTGCTGCTGCTGCTCTTATTGGCAGAGCTTCGTGGGGTTTTGCTGCTGCTAGGCAGTTCTTCCTCAAGAAACTCCCTTACTGCCGCTGCTGCACCGCGCTGCAGCAGCAACTCACAGAAGCAACTCACTCCCAATAGATGAGGGTTTAGTTAGGGTTTAGGGTTTGGAGTTGCAGGGTTTAGGGTCAACAAATCTAGGGTTTAGAGCTGTCGTGGGGCTTAAGAAATGGATTTTGAGGGTTTAGGGTTTAGGGTTTAGGGTTTTTGAGGGTTTAGGGTTTAGGGTTTAGGACGTACTACTTGGGGTGTTTCTTCTTCACCAAGACCAAAGCTAAGGCGCTGTGCTCTTGCTGCTGCTGCTGCTGCTTGCTGCTGCTGCAGCAGTTGCTGATGTTGCTGCTGTTGCTGGACGAATACTCGGCTGCTACCAACAGCGCATGCGCCTGCAGCAAGAAGCTTCTTTTTAGGTTGCTGCTGCTGCTGCTGCACCACCCCAGGCTGCAGCAACTGCTGCTGCTGCTGCAGATGCTGGTGCTGCTGCTGCAGCAGCAGCTGCTGCGGTGAATCCTCCTCATCTAATTCCTCTAGGGCACTCTGAAATGTATTATCTAATAGCTGCAGCTCTGCAGGGAGAGCAGCAGCAACTGCTGCTGCTGCTGCATGCGATTTTGCTGCTGTTACTGCTGCGCTATGACGAAAACTATCTGCTGTTGCTGCTGTTGCTGCTGCAGCAACAGTCACTTGGGGAGGAGGGGGAAGACCTGCTGCTGCTGCTGCTGCTGCCTTCAATACGCATGCACGAGGTGTTTGCTGCTGCTGCTGCTGCTCTTCTTCCTCCTCATCGCTACTCTCTGTCTTTGCCTTACGTGCCTGTCTAACAATGCCGCGGCGGGCAAACAAAGCCATCTTGTGCTGCTGCTGCTGCAGCTGCTATTGCTGCTGCTGCTGCTGCTGCTATGCTTACTATATGGTCACTCCCTGGGGTTGCAGCCGCTGCTGTTGCTGCTGCTGTTTCTTATGCTGCTGCTTGTGCTCTTGTTGCTGCTGCAGCAACCTATGAAGGAAACTTCGACATTAAAAAGGAGAAACTCAGTAAGGCCTTACTGCATGCGTCTGCTGCTGTTGCTGCTGCTGCTGCTTCAGTTGCTGCTGCTCCAACTTCTGCTGCAGCACAGAAGCCAGCAACTGCTCTAAAAACAAATATAGCTATAACCCGATGGGAGCAATTAGCAGCAGTGTCGAGCAGCAGCCGCTGCTGCTACTGCTGCTGTGGCTGCGGCTGCTGCTGCCGCTGCTGTTGCTGCTGCATGCACGGCCCGTATGGCCTTATAAGATACTGCCTTCCAATACAATAAAAATTATTAATTAATTAGTTAATTAATTAATTAATAAAAAGAAAAATAAATTATTTCCCCTAAAACCCTTCCTTATAGATGCAGGGTTCGCCGCGGTGACCTACGATGCTCGAAATTTAGGGTTTAGGGTTTAGGGTTTAGGGTTTAGCGGTCTAGGGTTTAGGGTTTAGGGTTTAGGGTTTGAGCTCTGAGGGCTTCTCTTGCGCTCTCCGGCTGCGCGCCATGTGTGGGGGACCGAACAGCCCAAGCCTGTAGAGGGAAATTTGAACGACAGCAACAGGAGCAACGGGAGCAGCAGCAGCAGCAGGAGCAGCAGCAAAGACCTCTGCTACGGACTGTAGATCACCAGCTGCAGCAGCAGAAAGAGCTGCAAGTCAAGCACCAGCAAATCTGCTGCAGCAGCCGCAGCATTATACAGCGGGAGAAGCGGGAGCACGAGCAGCAGCAACAGCAGCAACAGCAGCAGCGGGAGCAACAGTGGGAGCTGCAGCGGGAGCAGCAGCAACAGCAGCAGCGGGAGCATAAGGATGCTACCTCATGGAGAGAGTATGAGTTCGTTTTTTTTAAGAGTCTTGTAAATGGAGCAGCAGCAGGAGCAGCAGCCGCAGCTGCAGCAGCAGCAGCAGCAACCCCAACAGCAGCAACAACAGCAGCAGCAGCCCCAACAACAGCAACAACAGCAACATCAACCGCAGCAGCAGCTGCTGCAGCAAGCCATCGAAGACATACACCGCGCCGAGTTTGTAGCTGTAGATCTGGGTAAGCAGCAGCAGCACTGCAGCGCATGCAGGGAGAACAGCAGCAGCAACAACAACAACAGCACTAGCCGTAGCAGCAGAGAAGGAGCCAAAGGGAAATAGCAGCAGCAGAAGGAGACAAAACAGCTGCAAAGAGAGTCATAAAATACACTAACAAGAAGAAAACACTATATAAACAACTTGGGCTTTAGGGTTTAGGGTTTAGGGTTTGGGGGTTTAGGGTTTAGGGTTTAGGGTTTGTGTGTGCAGAGTTTACGGGTTTGCTATTAGAGCAGCGCAGCAGGGCGGTGACGTTGGATAAATATTATGACGAATGTTATAAGGCGGTGCAGCAATTCCTTGCACGTAAATAAACCCTAAACCCTAAACCCTAAACACTAAATTGTAGAAACCCTAAACCCTAGTTCTATATCTAGCTGAAACCCTTAAGATGTGCTGCGTGAAGATAGAAGCGCAGGAGATGTGCGGTTGCAGGAGAGTCGATTAGGGTTTAGGGTTTAGGGTTTACGATTTAGGGTTTTAGGGTTTAGGGTTTAGGGTTTAGGGTTTGTGATGCAGCACAAATAGGGATTTGTTGCGCAAGAAGGGATGAGAAAAATAAAAACAAATGGATCCTCCAACCCTACACATTCGATGCTCATCCTCGTGTACGCCTTCTAAACCCTAAACCCTAAACCCTAATCCCTAATCAAAAGAAATAAACCCTAATTTGCAGGGTCTACTCGCTATTCTTGTTGTTCTTGTTGTCCTTAATACGTCTAGTATTGACATTACTAAAGTTAACATGTAGGCCTTAGGGTTTATGCTTTAGGGTTTAAGGTCTGGGGTTTAGGGTTTAGGGTTTAGGGTTTAGGGTTTAGGGTTTAGGGTTTGTGGTTCAGCGAGGACGGAGCATATTTTCTGTGGATTTGAAGGCTTTGCGTTTCCTCCAAAGAAATGGTTTTGACTTTAATAAGTGGATCGCCTCAGGGTACGTAAACCCTAAACCCTAAACCCTAAACCCTAAACCCTAATTCCTAAACCCTGTTGTTAGTATTTTGTCGCTGGCAACGTAATAACGAGTTTATGATCAATGGGCGCATAAACCCCAAACCCTAATCTGTCGTACACGGGAGGGGGAGCACTGCAGCACGGAAGCCACAGCTGTTGTTTTAGGGTTTAGGGTTTAGGGTTTGACTGTGATTTGCGCAGCCTTGACTACGAGCGACTCTGCGAAGTGCAGCAGCAGCAGCACGAGAGAGAAGCCATAGAGGCAATGCATCAGCAGATACGGCAGCACCAGCAGCAGCAGCAGCAGAAGCAGCAGCAGCACCAGCTAGATCTAAGTAGTCGTAAAAGGAAATCCAGGGATCCTGGCGACCAGGAAAAATCAGGGACACCTGACAGCAGCAACAGCAGCAGCAGCAGCAGCAGCGAAGACGAGGCAAACACACAAGGGAGCAACAAATCACAGCATAAAGGAGCAGCAACAGCAGTAGCAGAAGCAGCACCAGCAGCAGCAGCAGCAACCGCTGCTGCTGCACCTAAGCCGTCCGTCGATGGCCAGCAGCGTGTGTGGGCAGTGCCTGCAGCAGGTCCTGTGTGGGCAAATTCCTTTTTATGCAACAGCAGCAACAGCAGCAGCAGCAACAGCAGCAGCAGCAGCGCGGGTTTATCGCAGCTAGCTGGTGCATTAATAGAGGCAGAAACACCAATTGTGCTGCACAACGGTCTGTTAGATTTGTTGCATTTAATTCATAAATTTGTTCAGGATATACCTACATCTATTCATGGATTTGCTAAAGAAATATCCAGGTAGGAATTAGGGTTTAGGGTTTAGGGTTTAGGGTTTGGTGGGTTGGGTTGAAGGGAGGGGCATTTTATCTTTTTGGAAGAAAAAGTGAAGGGTTTTACTTCAGGTCGAGGGTTTAGGGTTTAGGGTTTACTAGTTAGGATCTGTCTAGGGTTTAGGGTTTAGGGTTTAGGGTTTAGGGTTTAGGATTTGTTGCTGCAGACTCTTTACTGGCGGTGTCTTCGATACAAAATATATCGCCACCCATCTTACGCCTTGCAACACCTTCGGCAGGTAAACCCTAAACCCTAAACCCTAAACCCTAAACCCTGTATTCCCCTTAGACCGCTTCTTACCTGCTGATGCTTGGACTGTGCACTGCCGCCCTCGAATATGGCAAAGGTTTATTAGGGTTTACAATTTTCTAGGGTTTACTAGGGTTTAGGGTTTAGGGTTTAGGGTTTGTGCAGGACGGCTCTGCATGCATTAAGAAATCATATGTTGGCAATCCCTGATCTAAATTGTTGTTTTGTTGTTGATGATCATCGCAAGTCTTCCTTTGATTTCTCCTTTAAGGTACCCCTAAACCCTAAACCCTAAACCCTAAACCCTAAACCCTAGATAGTGTAACGTGGGTGGTCGAAGGGTTGTTAAGATTAGGACTCAAAGAGGTTCCTCTTTTGCTGCTCCTAGGGTTTAGGGTTTAGGGTTTAGGGTTTAGGGTTTACGTGTTTGCAGGAATTGAATGTCCCTCATGAGCTGCCTGACTCGCGGAGCCACGAGGCAGGGTTTGATGCCCTGGCGACAGCACAGGTAGGGTTTAGGGTTTAGGGTTTAGAGTTGCGTATGGCTGGGGCTGCATGCGAGGGCATCCAGCTGCATGCAACTGCTGCTGCTGCTGCTGCTGTTTTGTGGTTTAGGCTTTTGTTTGTCTCCTTGCTGCTGAGGCTAAGAGCAAAGGAGCTGAGTAAGCTAGGGTTTAGGGTTTAGGGGTGGCAGCTCATCCAAGTATATGCCTATTAACCCTAATTAAGGTGTATATATAGTATAAACCCTAATTAAGGTGTATACATATAAACCCTAATTGAGTGTTTATATGCATGCAGGAGTGTTTGTCTTTCTCTCCTTAAGGAAGGAAAAGACGTCATTGGTGTTGCTGGTGTACACCCTGGTTATCTGCAGCTGCAGCAGTACCTCCAAGAGGAGGACAGCAGCAGCAGCAACGGCAGCAGCAGCAGCAACGGCAGCAGCAGCAGCAACGGCAGCAATGATACAGCTGGGGAGACGCAGGCAGCCAAACGAAGCAAAAAAGAGAAAAATCTCAGCGCGTCTGCAGCAGGAGTCCCTGCTGCTGCAGTTGCGTCTGCTGCTGCTGCTGCTGCTCCAACTGCTGCTGCAGCAGAAGCAGCAACAGCAACAGCAGCAGTAGCAAAGGGACAAGATTCGGAGCCGCGACGCACAGCGCGCGCTAACCGTAAACGGACGTGACCATTTTGGCTAAACCCTGCAACTAGCCGCAGCTAGGGTTTAGGGTTTAGGGTTTATATATATATACACCCTAGCTAGGCTTTAGGGTTGATTGCATCGCATAGCTAGGGTTTAAAGTCTATAGAATAGCATAGCTAGGGTTTAGGGTTTAGAGGGAGTCTGATGATTCATCCCGTTAAAAAGGAACCCTAAATAATCCTAACTAGTATATAAAGGGTTTAGGGTTTAGGGTTTAGGGTTTACACCGTCTCATCAGCAGCTAAACGTAAGAATGTATCGCGAGTCATTAAACCCCCATTAACAACATCATACTTTAATTTATAAAAACACCCATCTGCTGTTAGAGCTGCACATACACCCCAAAACCCTAAACCCTAAACCCTCAGCAAGGCGAAAATACCAGGAAAAGCAAACCCTAATAAACCCTAAACCCTACATTCACAACCCCCCCACGTCTTCATCCCTAAACCCTAACTGACGAGCCCTAACAAACGGTGCATTGATACATGAGTTAGTAAACCCTAGAAGCCCCTCCCCTCCTAAACCCTCATAAACCCTAAACCTACCCAAGAGGGTTTGCGGTTCTTGACCGAAGGCACAAACCGCCGCGAAGTTCTCCGTAAAATGGAACCTGAACACCAAACCCTAAACCCTAACCCTAAACCCTAAATCCATTGTGCAGCCTAATAGCTACGCTGCTGGCCTCCGGCACGCCAAGCAAGGGAGGGAGTTGATGACATCTCAGGCTGAGGGTTTAGGATTTAGAATGGTCTATTAGGGTTTACTAGGGTTTACTAGGGTTTACTAGGGTTTAGGAGGGTTTATTAGGGTTTACGAGGGTTTATGAATTAGGGTTTACGTACTTAAATTGTGCCATACTCCATTCAGATTGAAAGTAAGGAGAAATCTTAGCGAGTAGAGGCCAAGAGCTGCGTACATTTGAGCCCCCGCTGCTGCTGCTGCTGCTGCTGCTGTTGCTGCTATTGCTGGCGTTGCTGCTGCTGTCTCCTTGTGCGTTAGCAGCAGCAGCAGCAGCAGCAGCAGTCAGCGGGTTGTAGCTGGTTGCTGATGCAACCGTCTCCCTTGTTGCGCTGCTGCTGCTGGTGATGCGTGTGGATGTTGGTGCTGCTGCGCCTGCATGCGCAGCAGCAGGTGGTGTAATTGCTGCTGCTGCTGCAGCAGCTGCAGCAGCAGCAGCAGCAGCAGCTACCTCCCCCTCCCCTAGACGATATAGATGCAGAGTCCCCGTGTTGCTGCAGACAGCTAGGAGACTGTTGCAGGGGCTAATACAAAGACAAGTAATTAATGCGGGATTTACACCTGTCATACAACACACCAAACCCTAAACCCTAAACCCTAAACCCTAATTTTTCTTATGTTAATTACCGAGTCAAGTAACCCCTCCTGCTACGCGGGTTTACACAACTTATATGTCTTGTATACTACAGACCCAAATAACACAAAAATTGCACAAATATAAGATTGATGTCAACTAGGGTTTAGGGTTTAGGGTTTAGGGTTTAGGGTTTATTACCCCTTCGGACTTCTTTAAGTAATTGTCCAGAGGCAGAAGAAAAAATACGAACAAGAGTTCCCTTAACAGAGGCAGAGGCTAAGAGGGAACCATCATTACTTAGGCATAAACAACAAAGGTCATTCTCATGAGCAGCTGAAGAATATATACACACAAACCCTAAACCCTAAACCCTAAACCCTAAACCCTAATTTATTAAAACGATATATTGTCGAAATAATACACACTCACGAACTCAATCTCTATAGTGGAATTATTATTAGGGTTTAGGGTTTAGGGTTTAGGGTTTGAGGGTTAGGACCATTCCTTACATATAGAAAGACTCTGTATAAGGGCTGTTGTTGGTTCGCTCCCTCCAGCTTCTGCGAAACACCAAACCCTAAACCCTAAACCCTTCACCCTTCTCCTGCAGGGCAACAACTACCTTAGGTACTGCAAGTCTACGTAAACCCTAAATTAGGGTTTTGGGGTGTATAGGGAGGTCTTACCGTCAGGAGCACCAGGAACACCCTCAGCAGGAATTGAATAAAATAAAACCTGTACTGTCCCCTTCTGTAGTGCTGTGCGCACAGCAGCAGCAGCAGCAACAGCAGCAGCAGCAAATGCAGCAGCAGTAATGCATAGGACAGTCTAACAGAGCAGGGATATCGGCAGCCATCCGCACAAGCAGCAACAGCAGCAGCAGCAACAGCAGCAACAGCAGCAACAGCAACAGCAGCAGCAGCAACAGCATACCTGGACATGCGACAGCAAGTTGCTGCCTTTGTGATGATTGAGAGTTTGCTTCTGCTGCTTTTGCTGCTGCTGCTCCTGCTGCAGTGTTTGCTGCAGTTGCTGCACTTGTTGTTGCTGCTGCCGTATTGTTTGTTGCTGCTGCAGTTGCTGCTGCACCTGCTGCTGCACTTGTTGCAGCAACACATAAACCTAATGGATTAGGGGAAGTAACTAATGTATCTATAAGACTTAATCCCCTCAATAAATAAATACAAACCTTCTGCTCTAATACTACTAATAACCTGCATACACACAAACCCTAAACCCTAAACCCTAAACCCTAAACCGTAAACCCTAAACCCTTAATAACTTACGTCTTTCTTAACAAAAAAAAAGAAAGAATTTTATGATTAAATTCTCATCAATTGTCTCTTAATTATTAAACAATTAATACACAATTATATACACTAATTAAATAAATAAATAAATAAATAAATAAATAAATAAATAAATAAATAAATAACTTACGCCTCCCTAAGCATAAAAAGGGAGAGACTTTTATGTTGGAATTCTAATCAATTGTCTCTAAACAATTAATACACAATTATATTCACTAATTAATTAATTAATTAATTAATTAATTAATTAATTAAATAAATAAATAAATAAATACTTACGCCTCCCTAAGCATAAAAAGGGAGAGAATTTTATGTTGGAATTCTAATCGAACAATTGCCTTTGCTTGTCTATCATCCCATAGTAAACAAATATTTTCCTTAAATATTTCTCCTCTTCCTTCTGTATATAAATATAAATAAATAAATAAATATATATATATATATATA